TAATGTATATCTGATGCTAGTAATACACCCTTTTATAATGTGTGCTAATATCTTAATATTGTTTAATGTATTTCTGATGCTAGTAAGAATATACTATTAACAAATACACCTTTTATCATCTCCATTATCTGTTTTTCAGGATTTTTGTGACGACTCCGATGATTTTATGTAACAAGAAGGTATGTTTTGTTACTTGTGTCAAGTATTGTACAGCTGAAATAAAGAACTGTTACAACTTGTGCAGTATTGAGTGATACTTTGCCATTAGAAGAATGCATACAGCTTCCTGTTTTTAGGCTTAGCTGAAATTAAAATTATTTAGTTGAGGAAACTAATGTAACAAAAAGAATTTTTTGTTGAATAACTTTAACGGTATTAGTATTACAGAAATAAATGAAAACACCATCAAACTAATAGTGCTGTGCCCTATCTAATTATAAATATGTAATTTTGTTACAAAGATCTACACATGAACACATACTGCTTTGATATAAGTAAGTTTTTGTATTTGTAACAAAGAAAATAATGGCTTCAAAAATATTAGTTAAAGCTTTGTGGGTCAAAAAGGAATTTAAAAAAGCATATTCTGATTCCCACCTTCAATTAGTAAATCATTAAATCCATTCTGGATTCCCCAAACATTCATTAACACTGTTCGTAGGCTTCTTTAAAGTTTCAGTCTATTCAACTATAAAAGAAGTTTATTCCACCTAGTTACAGCCTATAAGAAAGAGAAATTCAAATGCTTCAGGTTAAAATACCAACTTGTTTGTTCCCAAGTGGTTTTAATCCAAAATATATCATTAAAACGACTTTAGTTAGAAGACAAAAATACTATCATCACTAAAACGTACAAGCTTTTGAAAATCTCGTATTTAAAGCCTCATAATTACGTTTTTATAAGCAATGTGAACTTTTTTACCCTATCTGCATGACAAGGTCAAAGTGCATATGTTTATAACCTCTTACAGTTACATTCAGAATTTATTTAAACAACTTTATCATTAATTTATGTTAATGAACTTGTTCACAAACTGTAGTTTATAATTTAAATTGATTGTCTATCTTGTAATTCCTTAAATTCAAAAGGAAATATTTTTAAAAAATCTCAATCTTCACTCTTCTTTGTCACGATATATCTGTGTTTTGATTCTCACCTTTTAGAAGTTTATAACATTAAAGATAGCTGCTAAGGCTTAAAACCAATTAGAAACACAAACTACACATAACAAAAAGCAAAAATATAAAATATGAATGTCCTACCTTCTTGATTTCTTAAACCTTTTTGTGCATTGCAAGCCAATGATCTATACATTAGGTTTATTTGTTTGATAGACATGTTTATAACGAAGAGAGAGCATTATTATAATGCACAGGAGTTTTAAGACTGTTTATATTTGGTTGTTAAAGACAGTAGTTCACAAGAAATGATTGTATGTTGAGTAAATCATTGTTCCTAGCCCTAACCAAATTCTGTAACCTGTTTATACCCAAGTAAGTTATAATAGTTTTGGGCCCTTATATTCTAGTGTATGATATTTCTTTTGTGTACTAAAATGCCTATTTGAAAGGTACATAAATTATTTTTTAGATAACCAAGACAGTGAGAATAAAGGTTTCTGAAATGCAAAAGCAGAGTGCAAATGGTTTCAGTGCTGAAGTAAATGCTAAATTAGAAACTTCTTAGTTTAGGTTAAAAAAAACAACTTAAAATTTAAGTTGGTGTAGAAGCTAGATGAGCTCTCATGTTATAATCTGATTATTTGTTTATATTAGCTGTTCTAGAAATATCCCAAGTCTTGAGGTTCACTATTATTTGTTTCCAAATGTTGGCCATCTTCAACCTTATTTTAATTGTTGATGAAAGAAAAACCCTGCTTAAACTCTCCAGTCTTATACTGGTGTTTTTGAGAGAATTATCAACTATTGCTTTTTTAAATAAAAGTACCATATTTGTGCATTTCAATTTTTTTTTATTAAAATTATGAAGGCTTTGCCTTTTCTATTCTTATCAAAATACTGCTCATCATTCTCTTTATTTCTATTCTGCAAGAAAGATACACCAAATTTAAACTTTTCAAACAATAACTTTTTCATCAAAACTCATTAAGCTTATGCCTTAGATTTCTTTGAAATTTTCATAACTTCAATTTTTTTAAATTCCCAAATCTTGAAGTTTGTTATTATTTCCAAATTGAGTCCAATTATAACTTTATATTCATTCTGGATAGGAGGAAAACACTTTAAATTTTGCAAAACACATTTATTCATGAGACTTAAAAGTTTCAGCCTTAATATGTTTGTGAAAAGTTCACTTAATAGCAAATGTTAGATTTTGTTTTGCATTAAAATATATCAATACTTGCACATCAAAAAAAAAATTGTTAATGAAAATTACTAAGGTTTAAAACCTTAATATTTTTTAAAAACTTTGTTCATTATATGTTTTAATGTTATTTTACAAGAAATACGTACCATATTTAAATTTTTCAAAATACAACCCCACTCCATAAAAATTCTTATGGCTTAGGCCTTGATGTTTCTTGGAAATTCTAACAAACTTTGATTTTACTTTACTTTTGAACAAAAGATAAAACCCTGGAATGGCTTTTCAAATATAAGAATTGTTAATCAAAATTTCCAAATCTGGAAGTTCGTCATATGTTGTTTCTAAATTTAGTCCATCTATAACTATTGGGTCGAATCCTGACCCCATACGTGCTCACCCTTTCAACCATGTTGGTGTTATAATGTGATGGTTAACCCCATTTTTTCATTGGAAAAGAGCAGCCCAAGAGTTGATTGTAGGTGGTGCTTAGTAGCTGCCTTCCCTCTAGTCTGTCACTTCTACATTAGGGGCTGCTTGTACAAATAGCCTTTGAGTAGCTTGGTGCGAAATTCAATAACCAAACAACTTTATTTTAATTCTTGAGAAGAGAAAATTAAGTTTAAAATTTGCAAAAGACATATTTTCTCATTGAACTCAAGCTTCAATCTTGGTGTTTTGTGAGAATTCTAAAAAATTTTAAATTTTGTTTTGCATTAAAATACACATTTGTGTATTGTTGTTTTTATCATGGTTGTTTTATTTAAGTACAAAGCTACACGATGGGCTGTCTGTGCTATGCCCACAATAGTATCTAATCCCAATTTTTGGGGTCGTAAGTCTGCAGACTTATTGATGAGCTAATGAAGAGTTTTAATGATAATATTCAAGGAACTGCCTTTTCTACGCACTAGATTTAAGCTATTCATCAAAACTCCAAAAGGTTAAATCTCAATATTTTGTTAGAAAACCCGGCAAATTTCAATCTACTTTTGAAGAAGAAATAAACCTTGGACCGACTTTTCAAAAACATAGTTTTTAATCAAAATTCTCAAATCTTTAAGTTTATTATTGCGTTTTTTTCCATCTTGATGTTAATTCTGGAATTAAGAAAACCCATTGTTTAAGCTTGGCAAAACAAACGTTTTTTCATTAACCTCTAAAGTTGGTCAGCAGTAAGTTACGGACTTAAAACGGTAAAATTCGGAATAAGATAACCCGCGGTGGACGCATGAGATAACCCAATATGGCTTTGCGCTAAAACAAATAAAGTTAATCCAAATTCTCATATCTTGAAGTTTAGTTTATTTTATTTTCAGATTTAGTCCATCTTTATTTTAAATCTGGGGAACAGAATGTCATATATTAATAAAAATTGCTTTTATTTATTTAGTGAACATTTCTTAAATTTTTTTCTGATAAACTGTATAGAAATTCAAGATCCTCTAGAATAAAACCTAAAAATACTTGAAACTGTAGCTTTAACACTATATTATAAGTCCCAGGGCCCATGGACTTAATGGGGCCCACCAGAAGTGATTCATTTCTATTCAATCCAAATCTATGTAAAATTACATGGGATGTAGGGCCTACACAACCTTAAATCCGCCACTCGTTTTAGGTGTGACGGTAAATTAAAAGAGGTGAATATTGTATCATTATTTAGTGTTGGAGCATTAAAAAAAATTAAACATTAATTTGGAACATGCATTTCGATGGATGTTTGTTAATATCTTTCTTCGTAGTATCTCAACTTTCCAGGAACATAATGTATAAGAATAAATAATTTGTTATTCGAATTTAAAAACAACAATAGCGCTTTTAAATAAACAGAGAAACATACCACTCTTCCTTTAAGCAGTAAATAATGCAAACCTTAAAACGTCAAATACTGTACAAACCAACAAATGTTAACGTAACCAACCACCCTTGTCAAATATATTGACGCCCGGTAGGTTTCGGATTCGTGTAACAATATTAGTGACAGGTGATATTTGACGTAACGTTTTTGTTGTTCTGTATTGTATGAAAATAATTTTATTTGATGTATAAACAAAATTATACGTTGGACTTTCATTATATATATTTATTTTAGTTTGTTACGAGTATGGGTCTATAATAATAAGAAACTGGAGTTTGTTGATTCGTCATGCCTAAGTACTCATAATGAATTAATTGAAAATTTTATTTGGCTTTTTCACTTGTATCAAGTAAAGATGGCGACAAAAAAAGTACCAGTAGAATAAGTGAATTATATTCTTACCTGTATTCTTTGTTAAAATTTTTAGAAAAATTATATTATTTCCCACCATTTATTTTTGTTCTAGGTCTAACATTTACAATCTGATCTGACTTACGACCAAAATCTACCTTAGATATCTTGGTGGTTTCAACCTTACCAGTAATTTTGTATTCCGATCTGGTGTATTCTTCCTGAAGTTTTGTGAAGAATAAGATCTCAAACTATCTATATCTTCATAGTTCCAACTGTTCCAGTATTTTGTATTCTGATCTGAAGAATTCTTCCTGAAGTTTTTGTGAAGAAGAATATCCTAAGTTATCTACGATAACACACAACTTCAGTTATTTAAATAAAAGACACTGCTGTGTCGTTTTCATTTTTGAACATAAAAGCTAATGATTTTGTATTCTAAAGAATATATGCAGTGTATTTTCCTAACAAAAAAGATGAAATAAAGTATTTTTCATTAGGCAATTTATTTTATTAATTACTTGCAGAGTTACCCGGCGTTACCCAGGTTTTTGAAGAAAAAAACGCTACTCTCTCTGTTTCCTTGCTCTATATTTCGATAGATAAAAAATATTTTGTGGATTTATGAGAAAAAAACAACAACAACCTTAAGTTTGATTTTTGAAAATAAACTACAAACCTGTTTTAGATTAGAGCTTCCTTATGAACCATGTTTTTTTGTTGTTGTTTTTCCTTCACTAGCAAGGATAAATAGGCCTTATGGAGAGTATTTAGATTATCTTATACAGTATGAATACCCGTTCTGGCGAACGGGATAAGCCTAGTTCTATTCCCGTCATCCCTCCTCAAATATTAAAATTTCAAACGTAAGTATGTACGTAATATTATGTTAAGTTTGCATTAATGTAAATTTAATATATTTTTATGAATGTTATACCTTATTCACGTTGATGTATGAAATATAATACAAACAAAATGCAATTTTGTACTTTATAATGTAACTGTTGCGTCATCGAGATCACGTGACTATTCTCACGCCCTCTACTTTCTAGAACTATCCTGTACTTTGGCGAATGCTCTAGCATTTACTAGATATAGGGTAGCCTGGTATATAAAAGAGGGTGACAACGTGACGGGAAGGTAATGTGTGTGTAGGTAGTGAGTAATTGTTTTGCAGTCAGAGAGAGACGTATTGTTGTTATAGCGTTTGTTTTAG